ATTTTATTCCATTCCTCTTTTAAAGCAGCCTCAAGTTCTTTAAGATTTCTTAGATTGTTAGGACGACTTCTAATACGTGTTTCTAGCACATGCCAAAGATGCTCAATAGGGTTTAGATCTGGAGATTGGCTTGACCAATTTTTCAATATTTTAATTTCGTTTGTTTTCAACCACTCTTGAACATCTTTAGCAGTATGAACAGGAGCATTATCATCTTGAAATGAATACCCATGCCCATTAAAATCTTTATCAATTAAGAACAGCAAATTTGTTTCCAGTACTTGAATATAATCATGTCGGTTCATTTTGCCATCAACTTTTACCAATGGTCCTAATCCTTTACCCGAAAAACAACCCCACATCATTATGCCACCACCACCATGTTTTACTGTTGGTCTAAGATTTTCAATATTGAATCTGGTTCCAGGTGTTCTCCAGACATATCCCGGACCATCATTCTTAAATATTGTAAACCTACTCTCATCACTCCAAATGATATTCTTCCACTTTCTTACACTCCAATCTTTTTTTCCTAGGCACTAATTCAAACGTTTTATTCTTTGTTGCTCATTAATCAAAGGTTTAGAAGCAGGAACACGAGCAAATACGTTGATTCCATGTAAACTTCTTCTAATAGTTTTTGTAGAAACATGTAACCAGTTTCCTGATTAAAATGGTTCTTTATCTGTTCAGCTGATTTACGGTTGTTATGTTTAAGAATATTTTTTAATGCTTGTTGATGGTCAGTATTTAAAATTTTTGGACATCCACTTCTTGGTAAATCTGCCATACTATCTCTTTCTTGAAAATTCTTCATGGTACGACATACTGTTGTGGTGGGAAAGCCAAGTATTTTAGAAATACTTCTATATGAGGCTCCACTTTTATAAAAGCCAACTATTTGTATTAGACATTTTTTATTTTTTTTTGAAATTTAAAATTTTGAAAACTTTTTAAGATCTTTTTTTTAAAAAAAAGATCTTAAAAAATATGCGATAAAAATTACTTTTTCAGAATCAGCAAAACTTGGGTTTTCATATACAAAATTTCCAAAACATATTATTATGTAGGTTCTTGGACAATTTCTAAAAACATCATG